ACACCTGCTCTGTTCAGTAGTTGCAAGCTCGTTGTTTTCTGGGCAGTTCAGATGCCTCACCAAGGTAAGTTGAAAGTTAAGAAGTGGTCCAAAAAGTTGACTCATTTCTGAGGACAGAGTTCAGTTCCTTTAAACACTATATTTGAAAACACCCTGAGATGCATGGTACCTAAGTAAATCGAAATTACTCTGCACTTCCAATCCCACAGATGAAGTTCCCAGGTGAAGACATGTGGTTGTGCCCTGTGAACTTTGGTACGCACTGGATTCTTGTGGTATGTGTTCATATAGTTATTAATTTGCATAATTTGTTGTGAAGCAGTTTCTTGCTCAAAGTGTTATTCTTAAATAGGTTTTCAGTGGCAAAAACTATAGTAATTTTTAATTTATTAACTTTTTCCTTTAGATTGTCAACATTTCTGCACAGAAAATACTGCTCATAGACCCCATGGGGAATGAAGGTGTTTATGACAGATAAAACATTTCTTGTTTCATTACAAACATTTTTGTTCAACTAGGAATTTTCTGAGGATGAGAGGGCATGAAGACACCATGGCGTGGCAGTTACAGACTATGCAACACAACAAACAACAGGATTCCAGCAGTTGCGGAGTTTTGCTGTTAAAGGTAACCCTTATTCAAATGATTCCATTTATTGTTAGCTACAATTAGGACTTTATATTACAATAATGAGAAATCTCAGTTTGCAGAACACTACCTTGCTTTTGGAGAGGTCAGTGAAGTATTAACCACTACAGAAGCAGTTGTGCTGGAGCGAATGCAGATAGCTTACCTCGATGTTCAAGAAGGGTGCAAGTCCAGTAAAGTCCTTATCACGTTAGAGTGTGTACATCCATTTTAAATAGTGCTTTTTAAACAGCACAGTACAAATAGTGCTTTTCAAACACTTTCAAATAAGACCCTTCTTTAAGTCTAATTTAAAAAAATTCAGGGGACTAATTTGCCATGAAGTATTTGTGGAACAAATTTACTACTATTTTTTAATTAATCAATAAATAATGTTTGAGTAAAACCTAACCATGAATGTGTTTCAGGGAACGTTGAGGATTACTGCATTGTTTGCTCTATGTTAGATACGGACGCTGACCGCAGCATGATTGAAATGGTAAAACAAAACCAAACAAAAGAAACACGTAAGTCTTAGTATCATTACTTGCTAATCATGTTTAAAATGTTGACTAATAGTATTCACCAAACATATGAGCCATTTATTTTTCCTTTCCAGGTGCAGTGTGAATCTTGCCAAAGATGGGCACATTTTGCATGTGCAAAATATAAAGAGAGCAACCAAGAACATAAATGCAAAAATATGTAAGGAAAACACATAACAACTTCTAATAAAAACAGCTGTCTTTTCCCCTCCATGTCTCTTTGCATTCTTTGTCAACATTAGATGATTGTGTGCTGGAGGCACGTTTTAATAGTGTGATTTGGCCATCTGAACGTCCTACCTATACGACGGAGCCATTAACTACGTAAGGTAGCATGGATTGATAGACAAGACCATAAATTTACGCTACGGTAGGATGTTTTGACAAGGTAGGACGTTTTGTCAGAACAGTGGATACAATCTCACTGCACCTAGCCGAATCCTCCATTGCCCTGACGAATTCTGTGGTGTATCTTCATTTACTTTAACAGATTTTACATAGTAAATAAAGTTTTGTTTTTCTGAATGTTCTTTTCGTTTAAAAAAATAAATAAATAAAAATTAGATCTCTCTCTACACACACACACACACACACACACACACACACACACACACACACACACACTAATGTAGAACAATTATGTGTATATGTTAGTTTATAAGACCTATGTTATATATAATTCAGAGGAAAGGGGATGTGTTGATATGTAGGTGTTCATGTAATGATAAGGTTTACCAGCAGGGGGGCGCTGTATTTAAGAAAGCTCATGAATGCCTCCAGGGGAGCACATAAAAGACTGGTCTGTGGTGTGAGAGGATGAATGGTGTTAATAAAATGTTTGGGGCAGTAGCTCGCAAGGCATAAGTGGATGCCGTGTTATTTTTAACAAGCGCTACGAAGACAACACACGACCCTCCTCTCCAAGGACAGAAAATGCAGAGAAGACTCACCACTCAGCAGGCCTTGGAAATGATCCTGAGTGAAGTCAACCCTTGTGACTCGGATGGAGAAGACCTAGAATTTCAGAGCTGTCTGATCAGTCTTCAGGTTAGGAAATAATATGTAATGAAACCTATTTCATTTCAAACAAGTGAAAAATACTAAAAAAAAAAAAGCAGAGCAGAGTGACAGAAATATCTACTCTACCTTTTTTTATAGTTTCCACTTTTTGTGTATGCTGGGTTAGGTGTTAAGGTTACTAGCTAACCCCATTTCATTTCAAACAAGTGGATATAGTAAGTAAGATATTTCAGACATTATTCCGATACAGAGGAGGAGATACTGGAATTATAATTAGTTTCTATGCATGCATTTGTGATTTCGTTTGACCTTCCCACTGCTCACAATTTGAATTTGTTCACACTGCAGATGAGGAGACTGCTTCTCAACCTAAAAAGAGAGCTTGTTTGGTGACTGAGACAGCGAAAGATGGCAAAGTGTGGCGTGAAGAACAGGTGGGGACCTGTCTCCCTTTCACCCCAATAGAAGTGTACTCTGCAGATGGAGACCGGATTGGCATCCATAACATATCTCCTGCACATACTCATTCAGCGCCTCCCCCCACAAAAGGTGCCAGTTATATTCCTCTGAAAGCATAATCTAGCGTGGTGATGCAGAGCGGTTTTCCTCTAAAATCAGTTTCAAGCTGACTTATAAAACATGCAAGCATTGGCTGATCATACCAACACGTTTAAATATCTGTTGACTGCTATTGATTGATTGATTATCACTAAGGCTTTTGAATCAGTTTTGTTTTTCAAGACCCGGCCATAGCAGGTTTTGTTTTTTTTGTTTTTTTAATTTAAATTTGTTTTGTTTTAACTTTCCGGTTTGAATCAGTTTTCAAAACTTTATTTTTTTGTAGCTATAATTATTTTTTAGCTTAAACATGCTCCAGTTCAGTGCAAGGCAGTTGTATCAGAGCGAGGCACGGCCAGATTTATGTCCTTTTGATGAGGGGCTGCAGCGGCCTTTGAAAATCTTTTCAGGTACAACAACATCTGATTCAGACCTGGGCCCTATTTCAGGAAGCCGGTTCAGAAAACTCAGTGAAAAACGACACTCACGGTTGAGTAACCCCGAACTGTCCAACTCGGAATCTTCCGTTCCAGAAAGGCTGATAACAATTAGTTCAATCAATGCGGAGTTGCTACAACCCCAAGTCAAGCGCGCGCACGAGGATACATAAAGCCCCGATAAGTGGAGCACAGATTAAGCGAGTCACCATGGAGACGGAGGGAAAGAAGGCACGGGCGACGTATTTCACAGCGCTCGAGGCGGAAATTCTGATGGCAGCATATGCCGACAGCATGCACATCATGCAGAA